ATATGCCAAGGAGGCCAGATAGCCCTTACCCCAGGGGAGCAAAGAGAGTTTCCTTTAAACTACCTGCAGAAATCCCCACTGACAGATGGCTGCAGGTGAAGGCTGATAAGGGAAAAGGGAAGTGGCGCAGCTATGACCAAGGAGGCAGGACTGCAATGGCTTACAGGAGGCAATTCAATTCAAATAGGAGGGAAGAAATAATACTGGAGAATTACAAAGGCAAAAATCCAATGTCTCGCTCTCAGTGGCGCAGACACCAGAGAAATAAAAAAGAAGAAAGGGATTCGAAGCCTATGGGGATAGGAGAATCTAGTACCAATAACCCAACATCAGTGAACCAGACTGAGGACAAACCCCCAGTGTCCAGGAAACTTTTTTCACCAAAGAAAGACACTGAAGAAAATAAGACTCAGAAGGAGGCTGCAAATGAAGAGGACTTGATGACTGATGACTTCGAATTGGAGGGGGAATCCTTCTTTAATGCAAATTGCAATGTAGTTTTGGTATTGCCTTGTGAATACAATCAGGATACAGAGGTTTATGCTGGTGAGGATACTAACGAGGACGAAATTTCCAGACATAGGCCAGTGTGCTATTATGTGATGAACAATGGAGCGGTCGAAGAGCAAAACACTTTCTTCGAAAAGCCAGACGAAGGAATGAAGAACCATCTAAAACCCTTATTCATCAGGGCAAAGGTGGAGAAATATGGTGTGAACAAGGTTCTGGTGGATGGTGGAGCTGCTGTTAATTTGATGCCTTAATTCATGCTAAAAAGGATAGGCATGCAAGGTTCAGATGTTAGACCTCACAACATGGTGCTTTCGAATTATGAAGGAAAGGTTGGCAAGACTTTGGGAGTAATACAAGTTAACCTGACAGTTGGTTCCCTCACAAGACCAACAATGTCTATGGTCATTGCTGCGAAGGCAAACTACAATCTATTGCTTGGCAGGGAATGGATCCATGGAATTGGCGCAATGCCTTCTTCAATGCATCAAAGGTTGGTGTTGTGGAGAGACGACAGAATTGTCGAAAACATATAAGCAGACCAAAGTTACTATATGACAGAAATCAACAACACGGACAAAAGAAACTTCGATCAAAATATGGCCAACATAGGGCCATGTCACCCACCTGAGGAATATTTCGAGCCCAATGAGAACGCTTACTATTCTTTAACCCTTCGTCCCAATGGATTCCAATGGGATAGGGAAATCATGTGGGACGGGCAGAAGATTGAGGAAGATGGAGAGACTTCGACGATACGGCCAACTGGCTGGAAAAGCGAAGATCATTATGACTGAGTCAAGTTACTACCAAAAGATTTCGGCCTATCTGGCTGAGAACAAACGAAAAACGGCCCTCGAAGCCAAAATACAAAACATGGCTGTCGAAGCCATAGATAAAAAATAAAAAACAAAAAAAGAAATAGCAAATCCTGAGGGAAACCACTCACCCACACCCTATGAGGGACAAACTTCCGAACTAGTGGATCAACGGCTAGATGCCATTTATGATCAAGAGCCCTTGGGGTTCGAGAAGGATTTAGAGTCAACAAGCGCTAAGATGCTGGTGCAAGATCCTTTGGAGGAAATTGATATTGGGGATGGCATCGAAAAAAGAGTTACGTACATCAGTGCGAAACTCAGTCCCAGTCTAAAAGGCAAGGTGGTCGAAGTGCTCAAACAAAACAGAGATTGCTTCGCCTGAGACTACGACGAAATGCCTGGTTTAAAGAGGGAAATGGTGGAACATAGGCTTCTAATCAAGGATGGCAAGAAGCCCATCAAGCAGATGCCTAGACGATTCTCCCCAGCAATCCTCTCAAAAATAAAGGCAAAGGTGGAATGGCTCCTTCGATGCAAGTTTATCAGGACCACAAGGTACGTAGAATGGCTTGCTCATATTGTACCTGTTATTAAGAAAAATGGCTCTTTGCGAATTTGCATAGATTTTAGGGATTTAAATACAGCCACCCCAAAAGATGAATATTCCATGCCTATAGCAGAAATGCTGATTGATTCTGCTGCGGGTTTCGAATACCTGAGTATGTTAGATGGATACTCTGGGTATAATCAGATTTTTATTGCTGAGGATGATGTTCCCAAAACTGCGTTCAGATGTCCAGGCGCCTTAGGCACTTATGAATGGGTAGTTATGCCCTTTGGACTAAAAAATGCTGGGGCAACATATCAGAGGGCAATGAACACCATTTTCCATGATTTCATTGAATCATTTATGCATATTTATATAGATGACATAATGGTCAAATCTATTTCTGATGAGGATCATTTGACTCACCTTTGCCAGTCATTCGAAAGAATGAGAAAACATGGCTTAAAAATGAATCCTCTTAAATGTGCTTTCTTTGTACAGGCTGGGGATTTCCTAGGCTTTGTGGTCCACAAGAAGGGGATCTAAATTAACTTGAACAAGACGAAGGCTATTATGGAGACGAAACCTCCATCAACAAAGAAAGAATTGCAATCTCTATTAGGTAAAATCAACTTTTTAAGGAGATTCATATCTAATTTGAGTGGGCGAACTCAGGCTTTCTCTCCACTCCTCCATCTCAACCAAGGGAATTTCGAATGGACGGCGCATCATCAGGAGGCATTCGAGAAAATCAAGGCCTATTTGATGCATCCTCCTATACTTGCACCCCCTTCTAAAGATAAGCCAATGAGACTGTATATCTCTGCCTCCAATGTAACTATAGGTAGTATGTTGGCCCAAGAAAACGATGATGGCGTCGAAAGAGCCATATACTATATTAGTAGGGTCCTAAATAAAGCAGAGACTAGGTATAGTAGCATTTAAAAACTATGTCTCTGTCTGTATTTCTCTTGTACAAAACTTAAATATTATATTAAACCAGTTGATGTTTATGTTTCATCTCACTTTGATGTTATTAAACATATGCTTTCAAAACCAATCATGCACAGCAGGATTGGAAAATGGGCTTTAGCGCTCACTGAGTATAATTTGGCCTTCAAGCCTTTAAAGGCTATGAAAGGACAAGTAGTTTCATATTTCATAGATTATGTTGACATCCACCCATGGAAATCATCCTTCGATGGGTCAACACATAAAAAACGGAAGTGGGGTTGGAGTCCTTATAATTTCTCCTGAAGGAATTCCAACAAAATTCAAGTACAAGTTAGAAGGCCCTCCCTGTTCGAACAACGAAGCTGAGTATGAAGCATTGATTGCTGGACTTGAAGATTTGTTGGAATTGGGGGCAACCAGAGTCGAAATTAGTGGAGACTCAGAGTTGTTCATCAAACAGATAACCAAAGAATACAAATGTATCAAAGAAAATTTGATCATGTACTTTGTTATTGCTAACAGATTACTCAAGAAGTTTGAATATGTGGATATAAAACATATTCCCAGAATTGATAATCAGGAGGCAAATGACTTGGCTCAAATAGCCTCAGGATATAAGACATCCAAAGAAAAACTCCAATACCTCATAGAAACAAGAGGCAGAATAATGGATACCAAATTATCACCATTAGACTTATAAAATTCGAAACTTGGTTATGCAAATCAGAAAGAATTCGAAGTGCTGAATATTGATACTTTGGCAGATACAGATTGGAGAAGTCCTATAATAAATTACTTGAAAGAACCTTCAGTAAGTACAGAGAAAAAGATCAAATATAGGGCATTGTCTTATGTGCTACTAGGGAATGAACTTTTTAAGAAAACCCCAGAAGGAATCTTACTCAAATGTTTAGGAGAAAACGAAGCATATTTAGCATTGTCCAGTGTGCACAGTGGGGCATGTGGGGCACATCAAGCAGGTCACAAAATGAAATGGTTGTTGTTTCGATATGGAATGTATTGGCCCACTATGCTCAAAGACTGCATATAATTTGCTAAAGGATGCGAGGAATGCCAAATTCATGCAGGCATTCAACATGCTCATGCGAGTGAGTTACATTTAATTGTTAAGCCTTGGCCTTTTAGAGGATGGGCATTAGATCTAATTGGTGAAATACGACCAACATCGTCCAAAGGACAGAAATATATCCTTGTGGGTATAGATTATTTTACAAAATGGGTCGAAGCAATTCCTCTAGTGAATGTTGATCAAGAGGCTATTATGGAATTCGTCCAGAAGTAAATAATTTACAGGTTCGGAATACCAGAAAGTATCACAACAGATCAAGGTTCCTTTTTCACAGGGCGAAAAATGCAAGAATTTGCAAGAGAAATGGGGTTTAAGTTACTCACGTCAACCCCTTATTATGCTCAAGCTAATGGACAAGTGGAAGCAGCCAATAAAGTCATAATAGGGTTGATAAAGAAACATGTAGGACGAAAGCCAAAGAATTGGCACAAAACTTTGGACCAAGCTTTATGGGCATGTCGAACATCTCCTAAAGAAGCAACGAACACTACTCTGTTTCGACTTACATTTGGGCACGACGCAGTGCTGCCTGTCGAAATACATTTACAGTCAGTTAGAATCTAGAGACAAAATGAGATACCAGCTGATCAATAAATGGAAATGATGATGAATGAATTAGTGGACGTGGATGAAGATAGGCTACATGCTTTAAAAGTTATGAGAAGACAGAAAGAAAGAGTAGTCAGAGCATACAACAAAAGAGTTAAAAGTAAGTTGTTCTCAACCAATGACCTGGTATGGAAAGTTATATTACCTATGGATAAAAAGAATAGATTATTAGGTAAATGGTCACCCCATCGGGAGGGACCCTTTCGTGTTTTGAAAACATTTTCGAATAATGCTTATGAAATAGAGGAATTAGCAGAAGATAGAAGAATCTTGAAGGTAAATGGGAAATACTTAAAAAGGTATAAGCCATGCTTGCAAGAAGTTCAAATTACTACAGAATAATAAAAGTAAAACAAATATTGAAGCCAAAATGGTATTGCATAAATTCCAAAATGGTTGTGTTCAAATTACAAAAGTACATAATAAATATCCTTAACAATAAAAAGCATTAAAAAAATACATTCGAAAATCAGAAAGGGGCGTTTCGTTTCAGCTTAGCAAACTTGCTCTTGCATAAGTTGATCTTGCATTGGGTGGCATTTCTGACGCTTTCGAGCCCCTTGATCTCTTCGCTTATTCCTTCAGCTACCTCCATCTGTTGAAGACTTTGTGTGACAAGATTTTCAAGTTCTTTGTCATCAACGGGCTTCAAGGCTGCCTGCTCATTTCGAGCACCCTCAATTTTCTTTTTGAGTTCTTCAATCTGGGATTCCCAAAACAAGATTGATCGAGCCAAAACATCATGCTTGTCTTTGGCCTGGATTTTAGCACGCTCCAACTCCTCTGCTTCTTCAGAAAGTCTCGAAGTTTGGTCATAAGCTTTAGACAAAGCCTCTTGTTTGGTTCGAATCTTAGCCTCAGCATCATTAACCCTAATATATTCACTGCTAACTTCATTGAGCAAGATTTGCAGATCATATATGGTCTCACTTACTTCAGGTGGACAGATGCTGAGATCTATCTGAGAAAGCAACTTCTTCATCGAAAAATAGGCTGCAGTGTCTTCTTTTAGAATAGTAAAAATGTCAGCCTCAAGAATAGTTTTGTTGACTTGTTGAAGAAGTTGGTCGAGAGAAGTAAGAGGGGCATTATCCTTCATTTGGCTCGAATCTTCAGATTGATTTTTGCTAGAAGAAGAATCCCGTTGAGCTAGCATTAACTTGATATATTTCAGGGGATTACTCCGTTTTAGCTCTTCTTTCTGTTCCCCAGTCAAAATTGGAGGATCTGGTTTTTTAGTGAAAATAGTTCCAGTAGGAACGGGAACTTCCACCTCCTCTTGCATCCCCTCATCTTCTTCACCATCTGCGAAGTGACGACTCGCAGTATGTGTTTCGCTTTCCTCTTCAGATTGGTCATCAAAATGCACCCTTCTGGGAGAAGAGTCACTAGGATTGTCGATGATGGGAGTTTCGAACTGTGTCTGGTTCGCCAGCTACAGGGCCCTCTGTTGAAGGAGGCGAAGTTGCTTGTTGGTCTAAAGCTTCGACCAATGGAGGCGAGGTTGCTTGTTGATCCAAGGCTTCGACGGTCCCTGTAGGAGTAGTAGCAGTGGACGAACCTTTGTTTAAAACGGCTTCGTTGATACCTTCTGGTTGAGGAGAGGCTGCAGGTTTTGAAGCTTGGCCTTGAATGGTAAGAGGATCAGAAGAAGCAAAAGGAACGCTCTACGCAGAAACAAAGGGTTAGCATAAAGAAGGTTACATAGTCAATCTAAAAAAGCAATAAGTGAGATTTACCTTTTGTTCATCAGAAGTTGCATTGCTACCAATGCGTTCTGAAATTACGTTCTTTGAAGACTGAGACTCCGAAGGTCCTTTGGATTTAAGCTTGGGAGCAGTCACATTCACTTTGCTTTTTGAAGGATTGGCGAATTGAGAACCTTCGCCAGATTTGTTGGTTTTCTTTTTCTTTTTTCGTTTAAAAGGAGAAACGTCTTCATCCTTTTCTGATTCGTTTTCAGAATGGGCACCATCGCGTCTTCGTTTCTTAGGAGACTTGGGAGGTAGTTCACTCGCCTGGAGAAATGAAAAGAATAATTAGTCAATTTAAAAAGTAATTTCGACAATAAGAAAGGAGTAAGTGAAGTATTACCTTTTTCTTTTTTGGGGAGTCATCTTCTTGTTCAGAAGGAGGATTTTCAGTATTGGTCATTGGCACTTTCGAAGTAGAAGTTGAGCCTGCCTTGGGTGCAACTTTATCCCTTTTCAAAGATTTTAGATCAACAGCTAAAAAGAATATGACACGGTCAAGTTTAAAACAAAGTTTAGAAAGAATAAGGGAACTTCGAATTTCTTCAGTGCCGCACCTTCGCCGTTTCGAGACGTGATAGACATGGCTGACAAGTCATAACGAAGGTGCCCCCTGAAATTGTCTAAATCACGTTTAGCCCATGTTACCCTTTGGGCAGGTTTTTTGGCATCATTTTCATATATACGAAAAATGTTCCCACAAACGAACCACCAGGGATACGGGGGAAAAAAGGCTAAAGCCAACTTTGGAGTAGGTAGGTTTGGAAATTTTGGTGGTTGATGTTTAAAAGCCCACCAATACCTATCTTCAGGTTTTACATAAGGAGGAAATCGAATTTTTGAAAGTTGTTTTTCAAATTTTTCTTTCAAAGTTCTTGCTGCTTCGCAAACAGTTCGATGTATTTCCATAGGATTATAGACAATTTCGAAATATTTTTGGAAGGCTCGAATTTCCTGGACATGAGTAAATCTACATTTTTTGACATGCTCCTGCACGAGGGAAAAAGCTGTCATCAGTTGTTGTTGAATTTGGATGGTGCTGAACATATTATTCGAATAATAAGCCGTCTGTTGTACCCTAAATTTTGCCCCTAACTTTTTCAGTCGCACTTTCATATCATATTTTATCATTCAATCACAATCATTAATAAATAGCTTCATTCATCACATTTGCATCCTATCTTTAAGTTTTCTCTTGTGTTGTTGACTAATTTCTAATCAAAATGCAAAAAATATTTGTCTTTGTCTTTTCATATTTGTGTTTTGTAGGTACCAAGTCGAAGCATCTGACAAATAAGGTTTTCCGGTATTATTTCCCTAAAATCTCTATTTGCAAAGAAAAAGAATTAAAAAATTTTCATTTTTTTCACTGTACAATCGATTGCTCCTAGAGTGCAATCGATTGCACAAAGTGAATTTTGCGCAATTTTTGGAAAGATACACTGCAAATCGATTTGCACTGTAGTGCAATCGATTGCACAGCGTGAAATTTGAAAAAAATTAGCATTTTAAAATTGTCAAATTTTGGCTCCAATTTTTCTTCATTTTTGAAATATGTATCATCAATTCAAATTTTAGTGCCAATTTTTCATTTTTAAGAAGAATTATCATTAATTCAAATTTTGGCTCTAATATTTGAAAGAATTATCATTAATTCAAATTTTGGCTCCAAGAATCAATTGCCAAATTACCACTAATCCCAATCCTAAAACTCTATAAATAGAGCCCTCATTTCATTCAAATTTCAAGCTTTGGATAGCCAAATCCACCTTGCTAAAAAATATCTCAATTCTCTCCATCTACCAAATTCACTCAAAGCTCCATTTTCAAAAAGTTAGTAAGCTTTGCATTGAAGCTTACTAATCTTTGAGCTAAACCTTCATCCAAACACTTTTTCTCCATCAATTCTCTACATCCAAGCTTGGTCAATTGATTCTTGTGGTTGAATTGAAGCAAATTCTTGAAGTTGTTTTGATAATTCTCTAGATCTACCTTTGGTAAGTTGAATAATTCATCTTTCACAATGTGATCTCTTGGTGATCTTTGGGATTGATTCTTTGAGCATTATTTTGTGATTTCAATGGTATTATTTTCTCATAATTTGATGGAATATTCGTGCTCAAGTGGATCCATGATCATAAGGTGTTTGATGGAAAGTTTGGACAAGAAATTGCCCTTTTGAAAATGTTGTTTTTGTTACTGAAACTGTGTGCAATCGATTGCACAGAAGCAATTTCACGCAGATTTTTGAAAACTGTACTGTGTAAATCGATTTACACAATAGTTCAATCGATTTACACAGGGACAAAATGCATTTTTTTGCCTTGTTTTGGGGCAGCTTTGATCCAAAATGCTTTTTCTACTCATTCCTTTTGATTGTTGGTTTGGATTGCAATTTTAAATGTCCAATTTGTCTTTAAACTCAATGGACTTTGTGATGTAGATGAAGTTGGATAAATGTTCATCAATTCAAATCTACCTAAGAGTGAATTATTTAATTCATTTTTGGTGCTTTGGATTAATGATATGTTTAGTGCTTTAATCCATCTAGAGGAGTGGTTGAATTTAAAGATGAAAGAATTTTGAAATGGTGATCCAAATTAGCTTATCATTTCCCTCCCTCTTCATCTTATCCCTTTATTTTTTAATTGTGCTACATGTTAAGGGATGATGATCTCTATATCATTTATCCAAATATGAAGTACATAGATTGATATTGACCGGTCTCGAAATAGGTGCGACTTCTACATAAGTCCACTTAGGATTGCTTAACATAGCGCTAAAATTTGTCTCGATTCGAATAAATGATCATTCGTGGCCCAAACTTATGATTGCAAGCCCAAGTATGTTAATTTGATCTCTTTGATCCAATAACCTTGACATTCATTGTGTGGAGGCTTTGGTTCTACCAATCCTCTAATGGATCTACAACACCTTTGGTCAACGCGGATCACTTAAACATCGTTGATCATTACATGTTGCCTTGTGAGAATTCCAAAATGGATGATATACTTGACAAAAAGAAAATGCAACTTGTTGTGTGGAGGCTTTGGTTCTACCAATCCTCTAATGAGTTCCAAATTCAAGTTTCAAGATGGTCATCCAACTAACCACTAATTACTAACAATTAACTTTACTTTACGCTTTTATTTTCATGCTTTATGTACCATTTACTTTTAGCATTTTACATTTCATGCTATTTTCATCATTGCTCACTTGAACATTTACTTTTATGTCATTTTTATTTTTCTCACTTGAGCTTTTCTTTCTTTTTAAAGACACCTAATAATCAACATGACCCATAAAAATCATTAATGATACTTGGACTACATGGTTACTATCCTTTGCATTATGGAGTGATGGACTTCTTGGACTTAGGATTAGAGACCTTGGCCTATCTTGGAGACTTTGTGACTTTATTTGATATTTTGTCTGGAGTTCTTGAGGTTTACCTCAATACATTGGGTTGTTAGTTTGTTTTGTGTGCAGGTTATTGAGATTACGATCTTTGTTTGTAATCTGGAATTCACCCGTATACAACCGTTACTCTGCCCAATTTTTGCGAAGACTAAATACACTTGAAGTTTGATTCTCTCAAGAGGTCTAGTATCTTTGCTTTCTTAGTTTCAATCTAAAGAATGGGAATTCTACATTGGCTTATAATGTCAAGTATCGGCTTCATGTTGGTTAGACGGTTCTCTTCCTTATTTTTTACCTTATGCTTTAGGATAGTCCCTTCATCTCCTCCCATCTTCTTTAATTTTAAAAAACCTTCTCATCTTCTTTCAAAATCTTCTTTGTTTTTAAACTCGAACCGCTTTCATAATAAACCTCGACTTTGTCGAGTGCCTTTTCTTTTAAAACTTCTTTTCTTTAAACAAACTTCAATTCATTTAATCATACTTTGACATTTCTTTCAAAATTAACAAAACACTTCAACTCATTCAAACTCTTTTGTGCGCCCAAGCACCTTTTCCATTCAAAACTTTTTTCAAGGTGAGACATGATTCATTGATAGTCGAGCAACATTCTCCTAACCCTATGGTTATAAAGGTGTCAACTTTTCCACTTGAGTAATAGAGGCGTCCTCAAACCCTCACTCTTGTTGACGCAGGGTCCATCTTTCTTACACCTTGTGGGCGTTAGTCGAGATTTCTCTCCTAACAATGACGACTTGTCTCCTTGTTTAAAAACAATCAACAAACAAGTCTTTTCTAGAGGAACTACGTGTACCCTGATCCCCTATTGCACGAAAGGTGGTACGTAGGCACTAAAGGTTCGCAACCGCGGCGGGTGCAAAAATCATAAAAATATTTCTTTTCTCACCTCCACCATCCATTTTATATACAACACATTTTTATAGCCAAAATATACAGATTTTACAAAGAGGTTCCTGCGGAGTACCGTGGATGTTTAGGGTGCTAATACCTTCCCTTTGCATAACCAACCCCCTTACCTTGAATCTTTCCCCCTCTTTTTGGGTTATTCGCTCTTTTCCCATTCCTTTGGAAACAATAAAGAGCGGTGACAGTTTTTATTTTGATTTGTATAAAGTCTAGTCAATCCAATGGCTTAGTCTTGCACATTTCTACCGCCACAGAAAAAAATGGCGACTTCACTGGGGAAAGATTGACCTCTTGCTGGTCCATCCCTAAGTGGGTTAAACCTATCTTTGTTTATATCTGCATATGTGCTATTGTTGTTTATGTGTTATATTTTGTATATATGTTTGTCTGGATTTTCCTGGTTTACAGGGTGCTTGGTGATTACTCATAAGTCCTATACCCGGACTTGGGAAAACTTTAAGATAGGACGGGCGGTATAGTCATGTTAACTTTGAGGGAGTAATCCCAAAAAAGGAGGCATGAGATCCCCCACTCATTGGAGGCCCCTTTGACTGTAGTATCGTTTACCGAGTAATCGGGAAGACGTACTGCTTTCGACCTGGGAGCCTGCTGAAGCTGAGGACCGTAGATTACCTAACCCATCTTGGCCTTTTAGGTGTAGTGCGGAAGCTATGATGGAGTAATCCGGAAATAGTTGTCACGCGATACTACGCTCAGACGAGTCTTTCCTAAGAATATTGCTAATTACCGAGTTAATCGGGACATTGGTAATATCCAAAGGAAGGATGTAGACTCTGGAAACCTCTTAGAACCTTGTTCGGCAGGTGATAACAGTTAGTCCATACCTTATGGGTTGTACCTTTGATTCCAGGCTCGTGACTCTGAACCGTGTGATCTTGTCACTGTGCAGTGTATTGCATAACATTGCATATCATTTGCATCCTCTGCATCATTCTGCATACATCCAGGTTGATCAGGATCTTATTCCCAGTTGCTTCTTCCTTCCAGTTAGTCATCTACGGTCAAGCTGATTCCTCAACACAACTACGGGACTAGAGCTGCTGTCAGATTGAAAATGGAAAACCAAGAACAACATGGAAGTTAGAATGGAAATCGACGAGTTAAAGTCAGGCATGGCTAAACTTACTGAGATGATGCAAGTCCTAATTTCCAGAGGAGAGCCACCTCAAAGGACTGTAATATCTGAAATCCCAACTGCTGCTGTTGACACTCAACCTA